CAGTAGTTTGAAGCCACCGGGTCCGGGACTCGAACCGTGGTCGACTACGTGGGAGTCCAGCGACATAGCCATTATGCTAACTGCTGGTTCCCGAGAAAGTTTTTGACAGAGTCTTGCCATATTGTGATCCTCCTGCCTCAGCCTCCCAAGTACCTAGGAGTACCACCATACAACACCATTCCTGGCCTATTTAGGTTGGGCCTAGAATCTAACCCCGGGCCACCCATGTGGCCTCAGCTTCCAATTAGTAGTATCTGCCAGCACACATCACCATGGCTGGGCAATTTTTAATAATAATTGAAAGAAGCAAGAAGCAAAATGCTTAAAACTAGTAAGAAGTTTGAGGCGTAACAGGATACTATGTTCTCAAAAAAATCTCTCCATAAAATATTAATTAATTAGATGGAGAAAATAGTAACTTCACAGTGGAGAAATGACTACTTTAACAAACCGATTCCATAAGAGATCAAATTATGTACCTCTTAATATGAAGGAAGGAGAGAAGGAGGGGTGGGGAGGGCCACAATAGAAAGATTCAGTCCTTCAAAGTCTCTTACAGGGCATTTAAATGAAAAGTTCATGCCTTAGCATAGTAAGAGTTAAACAGTTCTTCAAAATTATTCTCCTTTGAATTTCTTTAATGCTAAAATTTTAAATTTTTGTGCTGAATTTCATTGATTTCACAAGAGATGAAAAGCAGCTATAAAATCAACTTACCTGCTTCATGCAAAGAAAAAAAATAAGCACCTAAGGACACGGTCCATGTGTTAAATTAAGACTTTTTAAAAGATTTATTTAATTTTATTTATTATTATGATTTTTTCTTTTATTTGACCAGAGAGAGACAGACAGAGAACAAGAAATAAGAAAGCAAGCAGCCAGGTTCGGGATTCAAACCGCTGTCGGCCATATGGGAGTTCAGTGCCTTAACTACCATGCCACCTGTCAGCTCCCAAATGATTTTTTTAAAAAAGGTAAAATCATGACCCTCATGCAAATATAAAAATGAATATATGATAAGATTTTATGTACATCATTAATGAGGAAACTGATGAAATATTTAAGCCTATTCAAATGATAATCTGAGAAATAGATTAGGAATATTAAAATAGATGTGCAAGTGAAGAAGAAATTCTTCCTCGCTAGTGGTAGTAGAGAGGAGAGGGCTGTCATTTCACTGGATAGAATTCATTTGCATATGTAGTGGGGCCGGCAGGTGGTGTGGTGGTTAGGGTGCTGGACTCCCACATGTCCAACCGTGGTTAGAGTCCTGGACCTGGCAGCTTGCTTTCTCATTTTCTCTCTCTCTTGCTCTGTCCCTCTCTGGTCAAATTAAAATAAATAAATAAATAAATAAAACTTTAAAAATAAAATAATTCTTAAAAAAAAGAATTAATTTGCATATGTATCAACAATAGTTTTTCTTTTTTTCCATTGCTATCACAACTTATAAAGTTGTAAAATAACTCCCATGGAATCAGACTTGACCTGAAAGAATCTGTTCTGTGGGCAATGCAAAAAAGTTCCCCTATACCTGGCTGGGCAGTGTAGAGAGACCCTGTCTCAAATGCTTCATTTCCATATATACGTGGGTCTGTTTCTGGGCTCTCTGTTCTCTTCCACTGAGCTGTCTGTTCACTCATTGGGTTAGGCTGTCTCAGGTGTAGAGATTTTGCAATATGTTTTATACATGGTAGGGCTAGTGACTCCTCATAGCTGATCACTTTTAGTGCTTGCTGGCTATTTCCACATTTTTTTATATGAACTTTCATATCAACATGTCTAGTTTCTTTTTTATAGTTTCTTGGTATTTTTATTGGAATTGAATTAAATGTATAAATTAATTTGCAGAGCATCAAAATCTTTATGATATTGTCAGATATATCTAAGACTAAGAGAGATTTTTCATTTATTTAGGTCTAATTTTAAGTCTTTTAGGAGTATTTGAAAATTTCCCTCATATCAGTTTTGCAGTTGTTCAGTTTATTCCTAAGTATCCTGTCTTCCTACTAATATTGAAATGGGCCTTTCTCTATCATTGTAACTTTAACTGGCTATTATTTGTAGACATAAAGACTCCTCATGGTATGGTGATTTTGTACAATAATTTGCATCTGCCAATTAGGGACTTCTTTTATTGTTTGAGTTAGTGTAGTCATTTTTAAAAGGGCTTTTCCTGGCGCACAGTCATATTAGTAAAAGCCATTCTGATCAATTAGAAGATGCAAACACTGGAACTGAAATGAAGTTCCCAGTTCAAAAACAGGTATAAAAGTTAATTGGTAAGTGGGCACTTGGAACTTGGAATATATATATATATATATTCTTTTTTTTTTTTGGAGAGGTTTTTTCGCTATTGGGTGCGTGCGCTAGCCAGACAGAGAGAGACCTAGAGACAGAAAGCGAGAAATCACCCCCAGGGGGGATGGTCACGCCGCAATCCCTTCTCCTCCATTCTCCTCTCGGGATCCTGGGCACACATGCACACGTGCCTGGCGTGAGTTTTAAGCCACCGGGTCTGGTTCGCGAACCGCGGTCGACTACATGGGAGTCCAGCGGCATAGCCATTACGCTAACTGCTGGTTCCCAGAACTTGGAATATATTTTTAACATAGACTTTATATTATACATAATCACCTGATTTGCATTGAACCCATATAATAACTACTTAACCACATAGTTCAAATTTCTTGTAACTCCTAAAATCAGTAAGTAAAAGATCAACAACCCAATTTTAAAATGGACAAAGTATAGGAACATCATAGTTTACAAAAAAGAAAATATAAGTGCCATTAAATATCTGTTTACACATATAAACAGAAGCTCAACCTCACTCAAAAAGAAATTCGAGGGACCAGCAGGTGGTACAGTGGTTAAGGTGTTGGAATCTGGAATCCCAGACCTGTCACCGTGAAAAATCACACCAGGTGCATGTGCATGCTTGCCCAAAA